GCAGTTGCCTACAATCTTCGGTTCTGTGGCCATGTGTGTTGTGGTACTTACATATTAACTTGGGATCCCTCCTCGACGGATCGGACTGTACGGGTTTGGGCCATCGGGCTTCTTTGATACGTCCGATTGCTGACACCAGGGTAGCCGAATCGACACTGAAATTATACTCAGCTAATCGGGGTGCTTCCTGTCTATCGACGGCTTTTCCGAGGTTGGCCTTCGGTAACGGTCTTCTGTTACTCTCATAGCCGCGATCGTTCCTCGTAAATTTAGGCCTCCTATCATCCTGATACGGCCGATATCTTTCCTTGTTCGGTCTTGAATCTTTGTAGTTTTCCCTACGAGGTCGATCGAAATTCCTATGTGTGGATGGCGAATCCGAACTCGCTCCACTGTGGTCGTCCTCTACCCTTATCTTCGATTGGTACCGGTTATGGATGTCTGCCCACGTAACTGCTGGAAACTCGATCAGGCTTTGCTTTAATTGCCTGGATGCGGCTGAGCTATTGGCGTTCAATCCTTGAGTGAAGGCTTGTACTGCCCAGTCATCCGTGACTGGGGGAAGATCCATCCTCTCCATTTGAAATCGAGACACGAATTCCCGGAGTGTCTCGTTTATGCGCTGTCGGACCTTGAATAGGTCGGATTTCCTTGTTTCTACCCTGATCGCCCCGGCGTGAGCTTTCACGAAGGCATCCGCTAACATGATGCCACGTCATTGCCCCCTTGGACAAGGTTTCTCCGAACTTTTTCAACAAAATTGACTCGATTTCATCATCTTCGAGATCGTTTCCCTTAATCGCGCACGTGTATGCTGTCACATGCTCGTTTGGGTCCGAGGTCCCATTATACTTCGGGATATCGGGCATTCTAAATTTCTTAGGGATAGGTTTTGGGGCGGCACTGGATGGGAACGGTTTTTGTACAAACTTTTTAGCGTCAAGGCCCTTCAGGACCGGAGGTGCACCTGGTATTTGGTCGACCCTGGAGTTGTATGTTTCTACTTTTTTATTGTTGGCCTCGATCTTTTCCTCCCCCTTTTCGATTCGTTCGGTCAGTTCTTCTAGCCTCCTAAGAACCGCAGAATCAGCATCCGGCCCACCCCGTTCCGGCTGTACTGGGGTCGGATTGATGATTGCAGCTGCACGGGGAGCCTCCTCGGACCTGACAGGCTCCTGGACCCGGCTCTGGAGCTGAGCTATAGCCGATTGCTGGGCTTGCAGCATGTCAAAAATCATTTTAAGGTTGATAGTCTCTTCGCCGACTGCCTGGGCCCTCGAATCGTCCTCTCCCCGGACGCTATGCGATGATTCGGAGGCCTGATCAGTGTTGAGCGCCATCCGGGAACCGGCATCTATCGGGTTTTCGAGCCCGGGCATTCCATTGTTTCCTGTCTGCTGTTCAAGTTCGTTGTTGATTGATTGTGCCATTCTATGAGTTGGTAATTTGAATGTAAGATGGACTCTTTTGCAAAGAACCAGTGTATTGTGATGTGTCAAGAAGAGT